CCGTCCTGGCAGATGGGCGTGGTCGAGGCCTTGAGGAAGAGTCCCTGCACCTCGGCCAGGGTGCGGTGGAACGCCTCCGTGGTCAGGCCGTGCTGCTCGGCGTGGCGTTTCTCCATATCGTTGATCTTGTCGCGCCACGTCTGCTCCATCTTGCGCAGCTCGGCGTCCTTCTCCTCGCGCAGCTTCATCAGCGAGATGTAGGCCTCCTCCGAGTAGCGACCCGGCGCCGGCGGAGGGGGAGGCAGTGTGCGCCGCTCCGGCATTACCGGGGCGGCCGGCGGGGGCGGGGGCGGCGGGGGCGCTACCGGTGCTGGGGGAGGCGGCGGCGGAGGCGGAGGCGGAGGCGGAGGGGCTGCCTTTGGCTCCTCACGGGGCTTTGGCTCTTCGGATGACTGGTTTTGAAGCTCATTACGGATCCGGTGAACCACAGAATCAGATATCTGAAAATGATGATTGTTACTTTTTTGGCTCAGGTAGGCACAAGTACATACATGAAAATGAAATATCATACATGGATGAACACATGAGTTAGGTGGTTGCCTATTTCAGCAGAAAAAAACACATTTTCACCACATACTAATGTTCTCTAAAAAGTCTTCATCAAATAATTGACTTCCATTGATTCCACAAAGGCAGCTCATTCCACACCTTGATTACACCTGTTGGCTCTTCATTTGAAACACTAATTCGCCTTGTACTTGTTGTGCCTCCCATGGTGGCTCCACCTGCACACTGTAACAGAACATTTCATATTATTAGCCATATACTATGCCTAATTGTGTTTATTTGTTACAACTTGAATTGACTGTCTGAATTGACTATATCACTGTCCTGTAGCCCTGTTTTAGTTAGTGTAGAGCAGCAAAAGCTGGACCCTTTTTGGGCAAAAGTCTCTTGGGTTGCTTTGATGATCAGTTCCTATATAAAAAAACTCCCAGCAGTGACAACTGACAAGGATAGTTTTTTGTTGTGGTAGACACCCTGACCTAGATATAGGTATATTGGTGGTGGCAGCACCAAACAGATGAAGCCAGTTTAATGGAGCAGGTCTTGTCTGATGTCCAGCTTTGTTGGAATGCTTCAGCTTGACAGCATCCAAATCCAAATTCTCCCAATTATCTAGAATAGGTATTAGATATTCTGGTTTTAGGTCTGTTTAGCAGCAGAAAAACAAACTGCTGCAACATTCTTTATTCCTAAAATGAAAATATACCCATAAATTTTATCATTAAAAAAGCTGCTAGCATTTAGTGTCAGGTTGCATTAACTTTAAAGGGACCCTCCCACCTTCAAAAAAGTTAATGAATTGGCATAAAAGTGATGTAGCGTGAATCACAAAGAGCGAAAATGAACATCTACCAAATTTTACCGGAAAATATTCAACCGTTTTCGAGATATAAGACTTTTATTTTTGTTTACTTTTTGGGAACTCCGCTGTTTCTATGACGTCACATAAAGGTTTTCTTTACGTCGGCATTTGGAAGCAATAATTTGGTATCAAATTGCGACAAATATTGCGCGAATGATGCGTTTATCTTATCAAGGTCAATATATGATGGCCAACAAAGGATTCGAGGACAATTCTTCTTATGGCATTTTTTCGTATCGCAATTCTTCGTCTGCAACTCTTCGTCAGGGCATTTATTCGTATCGCATTACTTTGTCTCGCATCAGGGTATATGAAAATCGGCTCGCATTTCTTCTTCAACGCAAATATATGCAAGAGTAAGCATTGATGGACAAATAAATGCACCGACGAAGATTAGTAGACGAAGAAATGCGGACGAAGAAATGTCATGCGAGGATTCGTTCGGGTACCATGACATTTATGTGATTTCAAAGTCAAGGTTCACAGCTGATCTGCTAAATCAAGCCAAGAATCCAAACTATCAAAAAACTATAAATATTTGTTTGTCTGTCACAGAGGTCTCAAGCAATATAAGGTTGACATATGTTGAATCAAAAATCTACTGCCACAACTCACATCTCCTGCCTTAGTTTATCATTGTTGTTTTAACTTGCTTTCAAGAGAAACAGAAGCCAGTATCTGATATCACTTCAGATGATTGTTTCAAGATCTGAGTTCAAATGGAATTAAAAGCAAGATCAAGATGAAACAGGGATTATTGCTGTTAAAGTAGTTTGGCCATGGTACAACAGGCACATAAATCATTAGCCAAATCAAATACTGGTTGGTTTGTCAAGATGTTTGTTGTCTGTCGTCTGTCGAGCTGCTATGAACACTGAACGCTCTCACTCTTACTTTAAAGAGAGTAGTTTAAGTTGAATGGTAGTGAGCTGTAATTAGACAAAGCAGCTATTCAGTGCTCACATCAAGCCAGGCTAGGAAATGGCATCAACTGTGGTGGGAGGAAGCAGGTTCGGCAGGCCTATGTTGTAAACTTCTGTTGTGTCTTGTGTTTGATCAACTGATGTTTTCTGCTCTGTTTTGTGCAGTGATAGTAGCAGGTAACTGCATGCTTGTCAAATTATGTGAATAAACGAATTCATAACATTGCATTTTTCTCTCCATGCAAGGAACAAGTAAGATGTTGTAGAAAATGTAATAGAGGGCTGCATTGCTGATTTCATGCACTTTATCAGAGCTTTATTTAGAATTGCTTTCCTGAAAGCTACACACAGGCCACAGCACTGAAATTCACAATGTCATAGCTTTTGGCAGAAAAAAAGAAAAGACTTGCCTAGGTAAAATTGGCTGAAAGTATGGCAGAGCAGGTCTTGAAGCGTATGCCCATCCGTGTGCTTGCCGAAGCCGAACTGACTGCAACACATTAACTCTGACCCACCATGGTGGCTGGCATATCCTGAACTTTCACCACTCTAAACAAGACAACTTTCAGCCCTCAGCATTGTATTAAAACACTGTACATGGCAGTTGACACTCAAAATTTGTTTCAGTGCCATCCACGGACAACATCAGTCGCCATTCACCAGGCCAGTAAAAACAGAAAAGATAATAGCTTCAAACCCATGTAGTCAGAGTTACTAGGTCTGCACCTCAAAACAAAATCCAGGTGACATTCACCACGCCAGTAAAAAAAAACAGGTAGGTACTTGGGTAACGTAACAGCTTCAAATCTGGTAACATGTTGGTCGGACTTAACACTACCATATGTACATGGAATAATATGATACCAAACAATAGTGCAACCATTCTGGACAACAAAAGTGTATGATAAAATTAATTTAGAATACTTTGGCAGCATGATTTACGAGCACAGGCAGGTGTTACCTACCAGCCTTCTCAATGCTCGTAAAACCAACATTGTAGTTTTGATTTTACCTTACATGATAACACACTTGGCTGCAATGGCACATTTAATTTAACACTGTGAAAAGACCAGTTATAACCACTTCACAAGCACAATTGCACCTCATGCCGACATCCTTTTCCAAGGACAGTCAGCAGCGTCTTTCGTCAAAACTGGAAGATCAATCCCCTTTCAACTGTTAACATCAAAAATATTTCTTCATGGTGTGATCTGCTATGGAAACCTTGCGGGAAAAGAATTAATGTCAATTGTCAGCTCTTCAAATTTCTTTGGACTTAAACTTGCAGTACCATATCCAGTTTGCTTTGATATTTTGTTTTTCATTCCATGTTGAAGTTGAACACCAAGCTCCAGATATAGCAGGCAGCTTGATCATCTTCGGCCTTGGTATAATATCAGTCCAAGTTCCAGTGGTGGGTATCTTCTAATATTCAAATTACAATGAAAAGCAATAGGCTTTCTCAGCGCCGACGACGGATTTCACGTTGATATAAAAGTGAGCTCAAGGTCAGCAAAACTCGGGTTCAAGGAATGGCGGGCGTTGAAATGACTGCTGACGTCATCAACAAACCGCTAATGGTTAAGAGATAGGGACTAAGCTGGTCCCACCCTGCAAGTAAAGGGAAGAAATTTCTTGAACACCATAAAGCTGCGGGGGTTGCGACCAGGATAAATGGTGGTTTCTGAGCCTGGCCGCAAACTTGGCTATCTCAACTCAAAACTAATGTTAAGGTGGGATGGTCCCTTTAAGAGCCAAACTGTCACATTTTAAGCTTATAGGGCATAGGCTATAGAACTCAGGAGTATTACCTACAACCTGAACCATTGCAACCAATAACACAATTGTTTGCATTCTTGGTTCGATAAGGACAAAACAGTCAGGTTTGCCTAACAAAACATGGCAGTCAATGGTTTTCAGAGTTTCAAGAGTACATAGCATGTATTTTCATTTAACTAATGGCAAATATTTCAATTTTGATCCCATTGGGCATTGAGGACTGAGGAGCCTCTTTGGTATTAGTATACGTGAGGTCCGAGTGGCGAACCGATTATGAAAAGCACACTATACGATGTATTTTGACCTCCTGATTTCATATCTGATAGTTATTTATTCTGGAACCAAGTATCAAAGCAACTATGGAATACTTACAATTACCGCAAACCGCTACCGCACTCCACGCTAGCGCAATGTGCCGGACGGCGATTACTTACGCAAAGCTGGCCAAGGTCGAGTAAATCAAGGATGATATATATCACAGTTGCTATTCAACTGTGAATAATGACGTCATAATATTTATCGCGGCGAAGCAGCGCAGTGCCGAAGGCAATGCCTTAGGAGAGATTACAGGCAAGAGTAAATCAAATATTTTTAGGTTAAGTGGTTATGTATCTGGCTTCAGGCCGAAGGCCTGAAGCCTGATGCATGACCACTTAACCTAAAAATATTTGATTTACTCTTGCCTGCAATCTATTCCTGCAAGTAACTTTTTCCTTATCTCCGGTAGGCAAACATCAGTAGGTTAGGTTAGGTTAGGTTAGGTTAGGTTAGGTTAGGTTAGGTTAGGTTAGGTTAGGTTAGGTTCTTGTTTTTTGTTATTATTACGTCACTTTCATAACACCATTTGTATCGTTTTCTTTTTCCCCACCCAAAAACCCCGGTTCCCAAAATTTCCCCTGAAATGGCAGCAATCCAAATATGGCAGCGCTAGAAACGCCCACGCTTTCATTCGTCGCGTGTTTTTTCGCCGCCGGGTGGTATTGTGGTGTAATGGGTTGGTGCGATTGGTGATTTGGTGTTTTTTCCACGTCTCCAGGACATGTAAGCATCATTTTTGGATTCAGGATGTCAAATAATGTAAGAATGTGAAAACTTTATCTTTTAACAGGCACTCGGACCTAATGTATACTTTTACCGCCTCTTTCAATGCGAAATTGAAATTACGTAGAATTGTGTATTTCACGTAAATAATAAATTATTAATAATATTAATAATATTATTAATAAATTAGACTGTTCTACATAACGTTCACATTGAAAAAGGCTCCTCAATGAGGGTCGAAATATTTGCCATCATTTAAATAAAAATACGTGGTAATTGCTACCTATGACTCTTGAAACTCTGAAGTAGGTATACCATTACAATTAATTTATCTACCTACCTGAGTAAAAGTTTATGACTTTAAAGTCTAAATTAAAACATGGCAGGTATTTTTGATACTCACAGAATGGAGGGAATTCAGTAAATGATACAATACTTTACTTAAAAACCTCAAAATACAGAAAATAAATTTATTTGATCGTACTGGAAGATTTGTGCGTCACATTTTGCCTGAAGAGCGCCAGTTGAGAAAACAAAATTTTAATGTAGATTGGTATATGACATTTCTTTTTTTACTTTGGGATTTTCATAAGAAATTAGAGAAAAACTTTTTTTGATTGCGTTCAATTGAACAAAAGCAGGCGAAAGACATCACGTTTTTTCAAGTTCAGTAATTTTTATCGTGTTGGTGTTATGTTATCACTTTCTATTTTTTGACGCATCTCCAAACTTTGGAAAAATATATTGGAATATTACACTTTCTAGCGAATTTCTTTAAAACTTCTCGTTTTTTCCCTACCCTGCCATTGTATGCATTGTTGTTTCAATTCATGGAGCCATTCCTATGTCAGAGCAAAAGGCGGGTAATTAAATTGGTTAAATTCAAGGTTAAATTGGAGAAAAAATTATTGTAATGGGGTCAGGGCCGGAGAAACCGGGGGGGACCGAGGGGGACCGTCCCCCCCGGGCCCCATTAATTCCATTTCCTGGGGGGGACCTGGGGGGGACCTAATATATAACGAAAGTGGGCCCTTCTGACTTATGTTTAAAAAAGTAATCAGCCATTTTGGCCTGTATTAGTGTTTTAAATCTCCCATTCCAAGCATCGGAGCCCTATATCAGTGAGTAGATCTCAACGAGTCGTAGTCCACCACAAGCTAGTGGTTCCGTGGTGACCGTGAACCATCAGAGAGCCATGGGCCCTCATTGAGTCCATGTGGTCCAGGTCCAGTAGTGGGCCTGTTGAAAATTCGACAGGTGTTTGCTAGACATACTTTTCTTTCACATACCTCCTATGTACAGCAACGCATGAATAATTCAGTGGCGGATCCTGGGGGGGGGGGGGGGCACGGGGTCATGACCCCCAAATGGTCTGAGAGGGTCAGTTGACCCCCCTCCAAAAGCCGAATACCTAAATGCGTTATAGACGCCGTCTTGCATGCTCAAAACCACCTATCAAACACATCTGAGCTAATACCTTTGTTTTTGTCTGGATCGTGTTGCGTGAAAAGGCGTATTGAAGGCCAGAATCTCACTCGTTTTTGTCTCAACCGTGCGAGCACCAGGGGATGATAGAGGAAAACTCCAAGGGGATGGTCATGAATTTAATTTATGGTGCCCCTACCTATACCCAAAATTAAAAACTCAACGGATTTCGGCCACTTAATTTTGGTGATGCGGTGTTTCCATCTTTGTTTTTTATATTGTTTATTTTATTTTTAGTGCCCCTGGGCCCTGGCAGGCCTGTGGTGCCCCTGGCCGGACTGTGGTAACCATGGCGGGCCTGTGGTGCCTGTTGGGTTTGCCGATAGATGGCACTGGCACCGGCAGTGTGCACCGGCTGATGGCGATCAGCTGCGCTAGATGGCACTAGGGGTCAGGAGCAGCTGACTGCGATCAACTGTTGGCCGGAGATAGGAGAATGGTGGGGCACTGAGTTGGTATTGGGGGAATTGCGCGTTACAATGAATACACGAGGAAGCAGGAAGAAAAGTGAGCTGTTGCTTGATACGCGAGAACACAACAAAAGTGGCGACGAGTGATCGAACTGCCTTTGCTTTACTGTGGCACTACTTTCTGCTGGTGTGCCTTGATATTTCTCCTGCTTCTCAAGATCTGTATTTTTCGGTGCGAATATTGATATGGATCTACTGGCTGGCGCCCCACCTGCCTTCTTGCCCACCCCAGGTGAGCCGCGAGTGCCCTGGGTGCAGTGGATAGCTGCTTTTGATAATTACCTTCTTGCAATGGGGGGTGATACCTTTCCCCCAGGGCGCCAGAAAGCCATTTTACTGCACTGCTTAGGCCTTGAGGGCCAACGGATTTACCAGAATTTGCCTGAACTGGTAAAAACAGAGAATGAAACTGAAATGGCTTATACGAAAAGGAAGCTGCAAGAGTTCTTTGTGCCCAAGACAAATATAGTGGCAGAACGTTATCGGTTCCGCAGCAGAGGTCAGTTGAGTTCTGAGAGCACAGCCCAGTGGGTCAGTGTACTACGACAAATGGCTGTGTCCTGTGACTATGGTGACAAAACTGATGAATTTATCCGTGATCAAGTCGTGGAGAAAACAGTATCTGGCAAGCTACGTCAACGCTTGCTGATGGAGAGTGATTTGACTCTTACCAAAACTCTGCAGCTGGCGGAAACAGTCGAAACAGCTGACAGGGAGGCCCAGGCGTTGCAGCACAGGTCTCCTGCAGAAGTTCGGCTTCTCCAGCAACCTGGTGGTCGACGGGGTGGTTCCGGTCCAGGTGCCCGAGCTGGGCCAGTGCATCCAGCTGCTTCAGCGAGACGGCCTGGACCTGGGCTCCATGCCCAGCCGGCACGAGCACCGCCCAGGCAGGCAGCTTCTACAGCAAATCAGCCCGCTAGTGCTACTAGATCTACTCTGCCTGCTACTCAGCCAGGTTTGAGGGAGAGGGAACCCACTTGTTTTTGCTGTGGGCAGTTGGGACACTATGCTAAGTCCCCCGCTTGTCCTGCTAGGGGGCACATCTGTCAGAACTGTGGGAAGCGTAATCATCTGGCAGGTGTCTGTCGAGGTCGTCGAACAGTGGCTGGTGTAAATGCAGTGACACTTATGTCTATATGTGCTACAAAGAGGGGACAGCTGACAATACCAGTGTCTGTTGAGGGCAGGTCAGGTGAAATGGTAGTGGACACAGGGTCTCCAGTGTCTGTGGTACCTAAATTCCTGGTCAAGGATGCCTTGCTGGAGAGGAGTGACACCCCACTAAGGTCATATGGAGGTGCATACTTGCAGGTGCTGGGTACATGCAGTGTAAATGTAACTTGCCGTGACGTCACAAAGATGGTGAAAGTGTATGTGGTGCCACATGGTAGGCCGTTGATGGGACTTGACCTTATGAGAGAGTTTGGTGTCAATATCGTAGATACTGAAGTGTGTGCTGTGTCTGCAAAACAGAGTGGAGTTTCCAGTCAGACAGCCGAGCCGGCTCACAGAGACAGTGTCAGCTCACCGATCAGTGGGTACCAGCATGAGGTCACGATCGACCCGACGATTCCACCTGTACGACAGGGCCTGAGGCGCCTTCCTCTCTCGGTTCGTGATGAGGTTAGTGCTCGTCTCAGAGAACTAGAATCACAAGGGGTGATAGAGCGTATACATGCGAGTTCTTGGGTCTCTCCGATTGTAGTGGGAAAGAAAAGAAATGGGTCTATTCGGATTTGTGTTGACATGCGACAGGTCAACCGTGCTGTCATTACTGATGCGTATCCGATCCCACATATGGATGATGTGCTCTCGCGTCTTCATGGGTCTGCTGTGTACTCAGTATTCGATTTAAAGGATGCGTACCATCAGGTGGAATTACACCCAAGGTCGCAGGATCTGACGGCATTTATCACGCACGAAGGGCTGTTTAGGTACGTGAGGTGTCCATTTGGTCTCGCGTCCAGTGGACCGGCATTCCAGGGGATCATGAACGATATGCTCCGCGGTATAGATGGAGTAGAGGTCTACCTTGATGACGTAGTAGTTCATGCTGCGACTCAAGTAGAGCACGATCGCCGAGTAGCGCAGGTGCTGGAGGTTTTCAGGCGACATAACGTACAAGTGAACCATGCGAAGTGCGTGCAGAGTGCTAGGAGCATTCATTTTTTGGGCTTCATCGTCTCTCAAGGCAGGGTTGAACTGGACCCTGAGCGTCTTGCTCCACTGACTGAGGCACCAGAGCCAGACAGTGCTGCCAAACTGCAGTCATTCCTTGGCGCTGTCGGGTTCTACTCTAAATTCGTACCGCAGTTTTCCACGATGGTCGAACCGCTACGGCGAGCGGTCCAGCGGGAACCATTCGAGTGGTCCACTGATCTGTCTAGACTGGTCAGTGAGGTCAAACAGGCGGTGATTAGGTCCCCATCATTAGCACTTTTTGATCCGAGCTTACCTACTGTAGTCACTACTGATGCAAGTGACGTAGGCCTCGGGGCTTACATTAGTCAGTTCAAGGGTCGTGAGGAGCGTGTGGTCGCTTACGCTTCACGTTCGCTCTCTGCAGCGGAGCGGTCGTACAGCACAGTGGAGAAGGAAGCCTTATGTTGTGTATGGGCGGTAGAGAAATGGCACACGTTTCTCTGGGGACGCCGTTTTCTACTTCGTACAGATAACCAGGCGTTGTGTACGATATTTGGGCCCAAAGGTTCAACACGTGCAGGGAGACGTATCGCGCGCTGGGAAGCGAGGCTTCTGGCGTACAGTTTTGACACTGAGTATGTGCGATCGGCCCAGAACGGCGTGGCGGATGGTCTGTCCCGCCTACCTGTTAGGGACTCTGAGTGGGAGGATGACGATAGTATTGAGATAGCAGCGCTGTACAGTGACAATGGTGCTCCTAACGCCATATCAGAGTCTGAATGGCGACAGTATAGTGCAGATGATAGTACTTTTCAGTTGCTTAGAGGTCATATACAGTCAGGGCGATGGCCTCGCCGATGCTCGGCAGAACCCGAGCTGCAGCCATACTTTTCGGTTAGAATG